GCCTTTTATCTTATTTCAACATTATTTGTGTGGATATTTTGCCAGTGTGCGAAGGTCTGCACCACGTGTGTGTCTGGTGCCTGCGGAGGCCATAGAGGCATTGGATCCCCTGGAACTGCAGTTACAGATGGTGTGAGCAGCCATGTGGGGCTGGGAACTGAGCCCAGGTCCCCTAGGAGAGCAGCCAGTGCTTTTAACCACTGAGCCTTTTCTCCAGCCCCTCAACCTGTCACTGAACCTAGAGCTCACGATGTCGCTAGGCCAGCGAGCCAGCCACCTGCAGGGATCCTCCTGCTTCTGCCTGCCCTGTGCTGGGGTTACAGGTGTGCACTGCCATACCCAGCTTGTTCTAAATCTTAGGGAATGAACTCGTCCTCATGCTTGTGTGGCTGAGGCCGCTGGCCCTTGTGTTCTTCCATTTTCAATGATGTCATTTATTTCCTTTGACTAATTAATATATTTATAACAGGTGACCTGACGTCTTTGCTAACTCTGTCATGTCTGTTGCTATTTATTTATTTTTAATTTTATGCTTTGGCAATGGATATGATCAACAGCAATGCTACAGTTATGACTCAACTTGCCATTTTTGAAAGGTTTATTTTATTTTAAATTATGACTATGTGTATGGGTAGTGCACCTGAGTGCAGGTGCCCAAGGAGACCAGAGGTAGGAAGTCCCAGGGGTCTTTAAATTGCCTTGTGGGTGCTGGGAGCCGAACATGAATCCTCTGCAAGAATGGAGTTTACTCTTAACCACTGAGCCGCCTCCCGCCGCTGTCTGTTAGTGAATTTTTAATTTCCTGGGCCTGTGTGAATTCATGTCAGCTTACAGCTCCTCCTGTAGCTTGTTGATTGTCTGGCCATATACTCTTCCCTCTGCCTTTGCAGCACAGTGCTTAGCTACAGCTTCAGAGGGCCCTGTGTAAACTGCTGGGCTTTTCTCCTGTCCCCCTCTCTGTTTCGGGAACTTTGCCAGGAAAGTTCCATTTGCTTTAACTTGTCTTCTGGACAGTTTTGTAGCTGCACATACAAAGTTAGTCTAAGCCTTCATGGCTATAGGTGAGTTTCCCAGGTCCTTTCATTACTATTTTTTAACTGAGGTAAAGTTTATATATTATAAAGTTAATCATTTTGCCCCTTAGTGAGTCAGCTTTTAGGGTGGTCTAAATTGGAGCTTGAGAGATGGCTCTAGGGAAAAATGCTTGCTCTGCAATCATGAGAAACTAAATTCTGGCCCCAGTGTCTTTAAACGCTAGGCAGGCGTGTGCCCAGCCTGTAAGTCCAGTGCAGTGGAGGTGGGGAGAGGGGATCGAGGCCAACCGAGCAAGCTAGACTAGCTGAGCTCTGAGTTCAAGTGAGAAACCCTGCTTCAGCATGTACTAAAGTAGAGAGCAGTTGAAGGAGACTCCGGGTGTCAGCCACTGGGCTCTGCCCCACACATACACATGGAAAAAGTAGGAAAAAAGAATGTTCTGAATTACTATGGCAGGGTTGTCTGTTTAATGGGATCATTGTAAAGGATTTGGAAAAATTTGCCCTTGATTCAGTAAGTTGAGCAACCACATTCTCTTGTCCAAAGAGACTTAAGTTAGCTGAGTGGGTTCAGATTGGCCTCCTTTAATATGGTGAGCACACATGATATTTTAACCTGATAACTGCACTTGATATATTTGATACTAGTAAGTACACTGCAGAACAGCAGAAAATAAAAGCAGTGGTTTAAAGTCCTCTCCAAACAGTGTTTCACACTTAAACTTGAGAGTGCCTGATTTGCATATTTCTGCTCTCCTAAGATCTGCTGTGCCTCAGTGCGATCACCCACTGTGACCTTCTGGCACCTTGCCTTCTTTGAGTCCTGCCTGACTTTGGTGGTCTTTAATAGCTGTGGAAGCCGTTGGCTCTTGTGCATTTAAACTGTCAGAACTTGCTCAGCAAGCTTGAGAAAGCAGTCTGTGGTACCTGTGAATAAGTTGGCTGCACCTAGAGAGTTTGAAAAAAGAGGAAGGTTGGAAGAGACCTTGAAAACTGATTGTGTTTATGGGGTAGAGGTCAAGACAGGAGGCTGGGGGATCGGAAATGGGGTTGGAAGGTTCTTGCAGGCTAGGAGAGACATGGGGAAGAAGTACTAAGGAGACAATGCTACGAAATATGAAATGTCTACAGCAAGTTTTGTTTGACAAGTTACTTATTTTTAATGGGACCACATACAAATAAACTGTATATAATAAGCATAGGCAAGTCATATTATAAAAGGAATAAACTTGCACCTGCGATCCAAGTCCAAGCCACCCTGGGCTATAGGATGAGATCCCTGTCTCAAAAAAGCAAGCAAAAAGAAAAATATAGAATCTTCAGTTTTGCAAAAAGAAATATTAGAACTGTGAAATTAGCTATAAAAGTTGTTTTGTTTGTTTGTTTGTATTATTGGTACAGTCACGAATGAAGTTAAAAGGCATCAAAATGTGTGCGTTTTATGTTTAGACAGCATCTTTCTGTAGCTTAGAGATTGGCCTCAAGTTGACAATCCTTCTGCCTCCCCCGGTTACAGTGCCCGGCTACAGGCATTGATCCACTACGGTTAGCTTTAAACTTTGTTTTCAAGTACTTTATTCACTTTTTTAAAGCATACAAGGTGAACAAGTGGAATTTCTCTTCTGTTGCTAGGCTACCACTTGAACACCATTGGTGTACATCATTGATAGTTGGGTGGAATTCTACAGATTTACCCATCTGTTGTTTAGGGCATTTTTGTAGCTCTGAAAGCGTTCACTTTTTCTCTTAGTTTTACCCATGAACTGTTTATTTATAAGAATGGGAGCCTCTGGAAGCCTTTCAGAAGCCATTTTGTCTATAGTGAAGAAATCCCAAGTAACACTCTCAGGTATCAGCAGCAAGAAGAGGATGTTTGGAGTCTGGGTGAGCAGTAGCTGACTGTGTCATCATGCATCGTCATGCATCATCATGCTTCAGCAGTAATGTTTCATCTGGAGCGCTTGCTGGGTGCAGTGGCTCATGCTTATGGGCCAGTGTTCTAGAGACTGGAGGATTGCAGCCAGTGGGAGACCAGCCTGAGCTCCAGAATGAGATTCAGCCTCAGGAAAACAAAAACAAGCACATTTGCATGCATGCATGCGCGCGCGCGCACACACACACACACACACACACACACACACACAACTTCTATTAGGTTTTTGTTATGATTTTTTTTCACCCACATGAGTTTAATTTCATCATCATCATCATTATATTTTTATTATTATTTGCATTAGACCAGAGTTTCTTTTCCAGAAAAGCTAATTTTCCTAAAAACTTGTAAGAATGCCCACAAAGACAAACATCACATGACTTCCTTAATGTGGAAGCTAGAGGGGAAAAGTAGGGCACGAAACTAAAGTGGGGGGGGGGGGTTGTCTGCTAATAAGAAAAAGTGGGAGAGGTGTGACTGTGGCCCAAGTACTTTATAAGCATGTGTGGAAATGTCATAAGAAACTGCATTTTAGAATGAACAAACAGTAGGAAAAATGATTTAAAAACTTCTGGACATGATTTCAGTGAAAGCTATGGAAGTCCTGAAGAGCAGTTTCTCTGGCAAGAATAAATTGTGTGTGTGTGTGTGTGTGTGTGTGTGTGTGTGTGTGTGTGTGTGTGTGT